ACCTGGAAAGTATTATCCTATGTAAAACAAGCCAAATAGAGAAAAACAAGTATCATATGATCTCACTTATTTGTGGAATATAATAAACTTAACAGTCTGAGGAATGGGGTAGTCCCAGAGACGTGGAAATGGAGTACAGACTGACAATACCCAGAAGAGGGAGTGGTGGGGGGGAGAAATAAACCACAGAACTTACATGCATATATGCATGAACAATGGACATGGACAACAAAACTGGGGACAGGGTGGTGAAGGGGGGAGGGAGGAATCTGTGGGGGAAAAGGAGAAACATGTGTAACAAAATTAAATTAATTAATTAATAAAGAAAGAAAAAAAGAAATAAATGATTCTTTGTCGTTAATGTTTACCCTTTTAATTATGATGTATCTATCTATTTGTGGGTTGTTCTGGGTTCATCTTGCTTTGACTCTCTGTGTTTCCTGGACTTGTGTGACTTTTTCCTTCACCAAATTAGGCAAGTTTTCTGACATTATTTTTTCAAACAGGTTCTCTATTCCTTTCTTCGATTCTTCTCCTTCTGGTACCCCTATGATGTGAATGCTATTTTTCTTGTTGTCCCAAAGCTCCATTAAACTCTCCTCCTGCTTTTTAATTTTTTCCCCCATTTGCAGCTCTATTTGGGTGGTTTTTTTTCTACTTTGTCTTCTAGCTTGCTCATTTGGTCTTCAGCTTCTTGTAATCTACTACTGAATCCTTCTAAGGTATTTTTCATATCAGCTCTTGTCATTCTTTATTTCCACTTGATTTTTGTCCATACCTTCTATTTCTTTTCTTTTTTTTTAATGCTGATGTAGTTCACACTGAGGCATTTATAATTCTCATTAAGTTGCCTGTAGTTGTCATTAAATTGTTTGAGACCCCTTAAAATCATTGCTTTGAATTCTTTTTCTGACAAATTGCTTACTTCCATTTTATGCAGTTCATTTTCTAGTGATTCCTCCTTTCTTTCCATTTGGGTTTTGTTTTGTTTTCTCAACTTTTTAGCAGTCTGGTAGCTCTAGGCCTGGTGAGGGATGGTGGAATCTGTAGGCAAGTCAGTGTGTATCAAATCCACACTGCTTTTCCTCCCATACTGTTTTGGTGTGTGGCAGCTGTTGCCTGCTGTGGGTCCTGGAGGATTGACAACTGGCAGCTGATACTTGTTTGTCTATGGTAGCCACTATTGGGGTGCATGGGTCCAGCTCGTGTGTTGTTTGTGTTCGTGGGTCCAGCTGGTGCACTGCTGGGGTAAGTGGGTCCAGTTGGTGTGTTTCTGGGGTGTGTGGGTCCAGCTGGTGTATTTCTGGGGAGTGTGGGTCCAGCTGGTGCACTGTGGGATGCATGGGTCCAGCTGGTGGGCTGTTGCGGAGCATGGGTATAGCTGGTGTGCTGATAGGGTGGGGCTCAGCTCCTGATCAGTCACTGCTGATGCTGCTGGGGAGTGTCAGCTCCCAGTTTGCACTGATACTGCTGTTGCTGTTGCCAGGCGATGTGCTCTTAGCTCAAATCCTCTCATGCTGTTGGGGGCTGAGGATGCTCAGCTCCTGGTACATTGCTGTTGCTGGGGGAGGGGCTGCACTCCAAATATGCTGCTGCAGTTGTCAGGGGCAGGTTTTGGCTGCCCAAGCCTTGCTACTGCTTGGGCTGGGGCACTGCTCCTGATCAGCCTCTGCTGATGCTGCTGGGGATTAATCTCAGCTGCTGATCTGCGCTGCTGCTGCTTCCGGATAGATGTCCAATTCCAAACCTCTGCTGCTGGGGGTGTGTCTCAGCTCCTGCGCCTCAGCTATTTGGGGGTGGGGCTCCACCCTTTCCCAGTCACTGCTGCTGTGGGAGAAGATGCTGGGCTCCCAAGCTAGCACTACTGCTCCTGGGGCTGGTGCTCCCAAGCTAGTAGTACTGTTGCTGAGGCTGGTGATCAGCTCCGATCAGGCTGCTGTTGGGGGGAATGCTGCTCAGCTCTCAGCTGGTTGCTCCTTCCACAGCAGGTACCTTGATAGCCCTGCTACTGTGCACTGGTCCACACTGACACAATGGCATCCACTGGTTTGATGGTGCAAGGTGCACTGGTGGACTCAGGTCACTCAGTCCTAGCTGCTCCCTACTGCCTCCTCCCAAAGAAGACCAGTGGATCTTCCAAACTGGCAGGGCTTCCCTGCCATGCAGGGAGAAGCAACAAACCACTTACTATGGTAGCCAGCTGCTCCCTGTCCACAGCACAGGAACCCTCTGCCCCACTTTTCTGCACTGTTCAAGGTTGCTTGTCCACTCTCACATCCACTCACACTCTCTTTCACACTTGCTCACACTCTCGCACACCCTCGCTCTGGTCCTGCCCACTGCCAACTTTTTCTTATGACATCTTTCCTAGTCTTTTGGGTTAGGAACCTAGGCTTTTCTGGTAACTTTGTGCTTATTATCAGTTATAGACTGGAGGCTTCTGTAGTGCTTTTTCAAAGATATATGGGGCACAATAAGAAAATCCAGGGAACAGTCATGCAACTACTCAAGTCCTAACATCTCTAGAGGCAATCCATTATCTTTTTTCCCCCTTATACCTTTCAGAAACTTACTATGCTTATTTTTAAAATATTTTTATTGGTTTTTTAGAGGGGGAGAAAGGGAGAGAGAGATAGAAACATTGATGTAAGAGGGAAACATCAATTGGCTGCCTCCTGCACGTGCCCTACTGGGGACTGAGCCTGAAACCCAGCAATGTGTCCTGACCAGAAATCAAACTAGGAACTCTCCGTCCATGGGATGGTGCTCAATCCACTGAGCCACACCAGCCAGGCACTAGGCTTATTATTATATTCAAATTTTTTATTGTAAAGGGGAGGACTTGGGTGAATGAGGTTACTCCATCTTTGTAGAGCTATATATTTTTAAAAGTATTTAAAGCGATATATTTTAAAAAAGTAAGTTTAAAAATATATACAAAATTTTAATTGTTTTAGTTGGGAGAGTAATTCCAATCATTTAGTCTATTATACATCCTGAAATAAAACTTCCCTTTCCTTTAAGTTTTTATAAACACAATGTCTCCTGTTTATCAGTCAGTTTTGCAAGCCAAAGGCCAATCTTCAAACAGACCTTTCTAAGGACAGGAGTCTCAAGCATGCACAATTCTTCTCTGCTTAATTACATATAACGACTGTGAATTGTGAAAACTAAGCAATGATGCTATCTGTGATCATATATTAAAAATTAAATTACCTTATAGTTAATCGTCTTAATTATAAAGTTATATTTATACCCTAAAATAGCTTAATTGGGATAATATTCTAATGGTTCAATTACAGAAGAAAATATGGGAGGAAAAATGATTAATACCTGTGGTCTAAAATAATATTCCTTATTCTTTTGGGAAGTGATTGAAAAATTGCTAATGGAGATTTACAAAATCTTTAGACCAATCTGGGGTTATTTGGTCTCACATATTTTTCTTGTGTGAACTCACATAAAGAATCAATTTTCCGCCCTGGCCGGTTTTGCTCAGTGGTTAGAGCGTCGGCCTGCGGTCCTGAGAGACCCGGGTTCGGTTCCCGCTAAGGGCATGTACCTCGGTTGCTGTTTGTCCCTGGCCCTGGTTGGTTGTGCAGGTGGCAGCCACTCGATGTGTCCCTTTCATGTCGATGTTTCTCTCTCTCTCTCTGTTCCTCTCTCTCCCTCCCACTCTACCTGAACAAAAAATGGAAAAAAAAAATGTCCTCGGGTGAGGATAAAAAAAAAAAAAAAAAAGAATCAATTTTCCTTTGTCTTTATGTATATAGTACAGAGTCTTCCTACATGGTTAAGTGCACAAAGGTCATGCTGAATGACTGATTGACAGTAAATGAATAAATACCTCCATCTCTTATCTTGCTTTCAGAAATCAACTTCAGCAATGGAGCACTGTTTATTTATCCTAAGTTCTAACTGGTCACAATTTTATTTTATATAACCTTTTTTAATATATACATTGGGCCATATTAAATTTCAATGTTTTCTTTGCCCCCTGTTAAATAATTTCATGTACAATTGATCTTCTATGATAGAATGTAAGCCAAGACTACATATGAAGTGGCTAGGAGGAGCACTCAAACATAATTCTAGTTTGGCCAATTAGAATGGAAATTGTGTTTCAGGGGAAGTCTTAGACTCACCTTTACTGAAGAAAGTGCTAATCATAAAGCCAAAGAATATTGAAGCAATGGCATAACACATGAGGAAGACAAAGGTGAAGCTATAGTCACTGTAGCGGAAGATTGGCACATTGAAAATCTACAATAAAACAGTATGACACACCATAAGTAATGTCACACAAACACAAAGGAAGAGGGATACAATGATGGTCCTAAAGAAACAGATCACACGATTCATGAATAAAGCTTAATGAGTTGGAAAGTTAACTAAATAACTCATTTCTTACACAAGAGTTTATTTTTTTTCTCAGATATTCATCAGCCTATGAGTCTCTATAGTGGAGACAATATAAGCCATATTTGATCTTACTGGCAACCTGAGACCAATCAGTCCACACTTGAGAAGGACGACTTTACCCCTCTCAAAATATAGCTGCAGCATGTTCTAATCAATGAGAACTAAGATGTCTAATATAGCAAATATTAACCACATGTAGATATTGAGCACTTGAAAGGTTGTTAATATGACTGAAGAACTAAATTTTTATTGTCATTTAATCATAGTTATTTTCATTTAAATTAAAAAACAAAAATAGTGTCAGTTATGTATTAAATATTGCTAATGATAATATTGCATATGAATTGAGATGTGTTCTAAATATAAAGCACACACTACAGTTTGAAGACAGTACAAAAAAGAATGTAAAATATCTTAATTTCCAAATTGGTTGCATTTTGATATGTTTTGTATATATTGAGTTAAATATATTATTAAAATAATTTCACCTGTTCTTTGTACTCTTTAAAATTTATAGTGGATACTAAAAATTTAATATTACATAGTGACTTATTAAATTTCTATTGAACAGCATGAAATTAGACACTTGCCTTGGCAAAGAATAACACACATATCAAAACTATAATAATGAGATAAAAAAAAAGGACTGTGAAGAAATAGGAAGCCCAGATCATCCAGTTATTAAGTCCATGTATGAGTTGGTACTCCTGTAGGAAAGTGAACACAAATCAAATATTACATATATCAGTAATTCATAGTACTTTCACATACATTAAAAAATTAAATTCCTATAAAAATCTATGTAAATAGGTAATATCTCTATTTTGCTCAGAAAGTCAAGTGTGTTGATCAAAATTATGCAGATAATTAGGACAGTATTGGCATTATAATATATTACTCTTAAGTTCAGAGACCTTTTTCAATACTACACCTAGTATTGGACCAAAATGGAAAGCATTTCAAATTAACCTTTGAAATATTAAGATGTCTTTTATATTATACTCTACTTCCAGGAATATTATAAAAATGTATCCATGTTTTTTATTAAAATATCCAATTGTAAGTTAGAAGTCATTTGTACTTCTTATGCCTGTTCCTTGTAGGCAATGTGGCCTTTTCCCAGCCTCTGGCTGCTTTCAAGATTTTCACTTTGTGTTTGGTTTTCAGCAGATTGAATATAATATGTCTAGGGGTGTGTGTGTGTGTGTGTGTGTGTGTGTGTGATATTTGCCTGGCAAGTGTGGCTCAGTGGACTGAGCATCTTCACATTGACTGAGAGGTCCTGGTTCAATTCCCAGTCAGGGCACATGCCCAGGTTATGGGCTTGACCCCAATAGGGAGCATGCAGGAGGTAGCCGATTGATGTATCTCTTTCACATTGATTTTGCTAGCTCTCTTTCCCTCTCCTTTCCTCTCTCTCAAACAATCAATAAAAACATATTTAAAAATTAATTAATTACTAATCATAGTAATTTTAAATTCCTTGTCTGATATTTCTAACATCTGTGCTTTATCTGAGTGGTTCTGATAAATGTTTTGCCTTTTTAGACTGTTTTTTTTTTTCTTTATTGATTTTAGAGAGAGAAGAAGGGACAGGGAGAGACAGAAACATTGATGAGGAAGAATATCAGATGGCTGCCTTCTGCACGCCCCCCACTGGGGATTTGGCCCACAACCTGGACATGTGTCGTGACCGAGAATAGAACCAGCGACTCTTGGTCGATGGCTCAATGCTCAACACTGGGCCACAGTGGCTGGGATGATGATGATGATGATGATGATGTGTGTGTGTGTGTGTGTGTGTGTGTGTGTGTTTGATGTGCCTTGTAATTTTTTGTTGAAACCCAGACATGTTATCTAGGGCAGTAGATATTACGGTAAATAAGAAATTCATGTTAATTTAGTCAGGAATTATGTTGTGTTTGAAGTTCCCTTCTACGCTAGGTACCAGACACTACAAATTCTTCCAGTGACCTTTCTGTCTCCCTCTTTGCCTTCAAGATTTTCCTATCTGCTGTTCCCCAGAGACAGTTCATCTCTGAAATTCTGCCTGTTTGGAAAATTAGAAGGTTGCATCACACTTTTTGTTCTATAGCTGTTGCTACTGGGATACAATATGCTGCTACTGGGTGTAATAGCTATGTACCAGTGCTGAATACATAGAAATAATCCAACTCTCCATTCAAAAGACCTCCATAGGCCTAAAAAGACCTCCTAGAAACTTTAGCAGAAAATAATTAGGATTACCTTCAATCTTTGTTCCTTTTCCCACACAATGGATCGCATGTTGGAAAGTACAATTGAAGAGAACATGAGTATGAACATCAAAGGGAGAAAAACACTAATACTCCAAGTAAAGTTATCATGAGAATACGCTGGGTATGGAAATCTCTGTATATAAACACGAATGCCATCAAACAGCTTCCGCGCAGCATTTTTCTCATGATACAGCATGATGGCCTTATCTAAGGCATGCTGCACAGCCAGGAACCCTTCTTTGATGTACCCTGCATGATAAAATAAACATTGTCAAGTAACACAGACCAAGGAAGGGCTCAGACACACAAAGAACAAGGGAATTCAAGTAAGTCATAGTTTGTCACCTACAGAACATAAATTTACTGTTGTATCAAGACCAATTGAACATAATTACTGAGAACATATCATAGTTTTGACACCAAAAAAATACATCTTCAGCTGAATCTGATTTACATCTCCTAAAAATTAAGTATATTTAATGAAAGTGGTAGTAGGTTTCCTAAACACAATTTATTTTTACCAAAATATGCAGATTTAATTAAACACTTGTGAGTTGAAGATGTGAAAATGTAATAAAAGAAATAAAGCTCAGAAGATGGTGGCAGGCAGGACCGGAAGGAAGGTGAGTGTGTGAGAAAGTGTGAGTGGACGTGAAGGTGGATGACCAAACCGGTGCAGTCCAGAGATGCTGAGCAGAAGGTTCCTGTGCTGTGGACTGGAGGAGCCGGCTACCTCGGTAACCAGCTCTTCAGGGCGCTTCTCCCTGCTCCGTGGGGAGGTCCCACCATTTTGGAAGACCCCAGTATTCCCTAGGAGGAGGCAGTGGAAGTGTCTAGGGCCCAGCAACCTGAGCCCACCAGCGCACCTGGCACCATTGAACCAGTGGATATTCTGTGTCAACACAGACCGGTGCACAGTAGTGGAGCTCCCGAAGTGCCAATCGCAGAAGCCAGGGACAGCTGGGAGCCCAGCACCATCTGACACAGTAGCAGCCCCATTAGAGTCCAGATATAACCACAGCAACAGAGGCTGGGGAGCAGACATCCATTCCCAGGCAACAGAAGAAGACAAGCAGCTGAGACCCATTCCCAAAATCCACAGCAAAAGCTGAGCAGGAGTTGAGTCGATTGGGGCAGAGCACTCTCCAACCTCCAGTGGTGGGAACTGGGGCTCCACAGAGGCCTGTGCTGTCCAGTAGCTCACGAGTGCAGTGAGAAGCCAGATCCCAGAGACACTGGTGCAATCCAGCAGCCCAGCCATGGGAAATGCAGGATGCAGGGGCACCAGAGAGGCCTGTGTGACCCAGCAGGGACTGTACAATCCAGTTACCCTCAGGACATGCAGGGTGCTGAAGCACCCGAGAGGCCTGTGCCACCCAGAAGCCCATAACATAGGCATAGATATGGGTCCCCAGAGAGATTATGCCATCCAGTTACCCACAGGACCTGCAGGATGTGGAGGCACCAGGAAGGCCTGTGCGACCCAGCTGTGCACAAGATAGGCATAGAGGATGTAAAAATGGAGGCGGAGTGAATAGAAGGTACACAGCTGATCTCCAGGACCAAATGCTAATTACAACTAAAATAAAGACAAATACTCGGAAAAAAGCAACAGAAAAGCAGCAGGACAGGGCCATATAACCAGGGACACTGGTAGGATCTGCAGACGTGCAAGAAACTGGCGGGCTGGAAGCCCACGAAGAGCAGCAGTCTTACCTGTGAGCAGCGCCCTTGGGGAACAAAGACCAAGCCTGCTCCACAGCACAGAGAGCCAGGACAGAGCGCTAAAATAGCCACAGCCACTCACCTGGGGGCTATGGAAGAGGGAGGACAGACTGGGCTGGAACTCTGTGGGGACACCAGGGATTTAGAGGGCACTCAGAGTTTTTGCTCAGTTGTAGCCAAAAAGGATGGTGACCAGTATGCTCCTTTCCCAAGCTGCGAGGAAAAGCAGCAGCTAACCCCCCTCAGAGATTCAGCCTTTCCCAGGTGAGGCAAAGAAATGAAAATTGAGGCTCATTAACAACCACCATTTATCCCACCCTCTGGAAATCCACTTATTCACAACACCAGGGCTACATTCCAAGGCACTGAGTAACTGAGACTACTAGCCACGAAGAAAAAGCTAGAGGATAAATGAACCTTTCCCAGGCTTACAAATCCACCCAGAAAAGTAAGACTTGACATTGGTGTTTAACGTGGGCCCAGTCAGGCTCATCCAACCCAGTAGAGGGAGCCATAAACAGCAGAACACCAACACCCACAGAGAAAATTGGGTAGGCTCCAAAACCAACTGAGATAGCCAAAATGGTGAAACAAAGAAACCAACCTTAAATGAAGGAACAAGAGAACTCTTTCAAAGATAAGATCAATGAAATGCAGCTAAGAAAATTATCAGAGGTAGAGTTCAGAGCCATGATCTTGAGGAAGCTCAACAGCATGAGTAAGGATATCAGCACCATAAGTAAAGATATAAAAACATTGGAAAGCAACCAAGTGGAAATGAAAAATGACATAGCAGAAATTAAGAATACATTAAAAGGACTAACCAGCAGAGTAGAGGAAGCACAGGACTGGATCAGTAAATTAAAAGACAGGGTAAAAAAAATCAACCAATCAGAAAACCAAAAATAAAAAATAATTAAGAAACAGGAAGATAGCTTAAGAGAAGTGTGGGACAGCTTGAAATGTAATAACATTCGCATTATAGGAGTCTCCAAAGAGAAAGAGAATGGGAAAGGGTTAGAGAATATATTTGAAAAAATAGTGACAGAAAACTTTCCTAACTTGGTGAAAAAAGAAGGCATTCAAGTTCAAGAAGCACAGAGAGCCCCAAGTAACAAGAACCCAAACAGGCCCACTCTAAGACTCATAATAATTAAAATGCCAAAAATTAAAGTCAATGAATATCCTAAAGGCAGCAAGAGATAAGCAACAGGTTACCTACAAAGGAAACTCCATAAGGCTCTCAGCTGACTTCTCAATAGAAACACTACAGGCCAAAAGAGAGTGGCATGAAGTAATCAAGGTCATGAAAAACAAGGATCTGAATCTAAGACTACTCTAGAAAGAGAATATATTAACACCAAACCAGCACTGCAAGATATGCTTAAAGGACTGCTATAATTAGTAGAAGAAATAGGAAAAAAATAAAACCATACTAAACAAAAATGGCAATAAACAAGTACATATCAATAATCACATTAAATGTCAATGGTTTGAATGCTCCGATCAAAAGACACAGAGTAGCTGACTGGATAAGAAAGCATTACTCACATATATATTGTTTATAAGAGACCCACCTCACAACTAAAGACTCACATAGGTTGAAAGTGAAGGGATGGAAAAAAATCCTTAAAGCAAACAGAAAGAAAAAAAACTGGGGTAGCAATACTCATATCTGATAAAGTAGATTTCAAAATGAAGGCAGTAACTAGAGACAATGAAGGCCACTACATAACATTGAAGTATATATCCAACAGGAAGATATAACCTTGGTAAACACATATACACCCAATATAGCAGCACCAATATATATTTAAAATCTTCTGGAGGACTTCAAAGGAGAAATTGATAACAATACAATCATAGCAGGGGACTTCAACACCCCGATGACATCATTGGATAATAGATCCTCTAGACAAAAAATTAACAAAAAAACACAGACTCTAAATGAAGCGCAACATCAAATGGATTTAATGGATATCTACAGAGAAGTACACCCCAAAACTACAGAATTCACATTCTTCTCAAGTGCACATGGGACATTCTCAACGACAGACCACATGTTAGGGCATATAGAAAGTCTCTACAAGTTCAAGAAGATTGTAATCATATCAAGCATCTTCTCAGATCACAATGGCATGAAACTAGAAATCAACTGCAACAAGAACATGCAAAGACATCTTAAAATATGGAGGCTAAACACCATGTTATTGAACAATGAGTGGGTTACCATGGAGATCAAGGAAGAAACTAAAAACTTCCTAGAAACCAATGAAAATGAACACACAACAACACAAAATCTATGGGATGCAGCAAAAGCAGTTCTGTGAGAAAAGTTCATAGCACTACAGGCCTACCTCATGAAGCAAGAAAAATTTCTAAAAGATTATTGACCCTCACAACTTAATGAACTATAAACCAATTATAAAGGACCCCAGCGCAAGTAGAATAAAGTAAGTAGTAAAGATCAGAGCAGAAATAAATGACATGGAGATAAAACAAAAACAAAAACAAAAAAAAACAACAATTCAAAGGATCAATGAAACAAAGAGCTGGTTCTTTGAAATGATAAACAAGATTGATGGACCCTTAGCTAGACTCACCAAGAAATAAAGAGAGAGAACGCAAATACACAAAATCAGAAATGAAAGAGGAGAAATAAAAACTGACACCACAGAAATACAACGGATTGATAACAAATATTATGAACAATTGTACGGAAACAAATTCGACAATCTAAGCAAAATGGACAAATTTCTAGAAACACATAGTCTCCCAAAACTAAACCTGGAAGAGATAGAAAACGCAAACAGACCAATAACAACAGATGAAATTGAAGATGTAATCAAGCAAACAAAAGCCCAGGCCCAGACAGCTTCACGAGCAAATTTTACTGAACATTCAAAAAAGAACTAATACCCATTCTCCTCAAGCTATTTCAAAAAATTCAAGAAGAAAAACTTCCAAACTCGTTTTATGAGGCCAGCATAATTCTAATTCCAAAACCAAAAAAAGACACTACAAAGAAAGAAAGGTACAGACCAATATCCCTGATGAACATAGATACCAAAATCCTGAACAAAATACTAGCAAATCGAATCCAGCAATACATCAAAACAATTATTCACCATGACCAAGTGGGATTCATCCCAGGGATGCAAAGCTGGTACAATATTCGCAAATCAATAAATGTGATACAACACATAAATAAAATGAAAGATAAAAATCATATGATCATATCAATAGATCCAGAAAAAGCATTCGACAAACTCCAGTACCATTTCTGACAAGAAGGCTCAGCAATCTGAGAACAGAGGGATTGTATCTGGACATAATAAAGACCACATATGAAATACCTACAGCCAACATCATACTCAATGGGCAAAAACTAAAAGCATTTCCCTTAAGAACAGGAACAAGGCAAGGATGCCCACTTTCGCCACTCTTATTTAACATAGTATTGGACGTCTTAGCCCCTGCAATCAGACAGGAAGAAAAAATAAATGGGAACCAAATTGGAAAAGAGAAAGTGAAACTGTCATTATTCACAGATGACATGATACTACACATAGAAAACCCCAAAGACTCCATCAAAAATTTACTAGACTTAATGAATTTGGCAAAGTAACAGGATACAAAATTAACATGAAGAAATTGACGGCATTCTTATACAGCAATGATGAACTCACAGGAAGAGAAACTAAAAAAAAAAATCCCATTTACCATCGCGGCAAAAAAATTAAGATACCTAGGGATAAACTTAACCAAAGAAGTAAAGGACCTATTTGCAGAAAACTACAGGTCATTAAAAAATGAAATAGAGAAAGATATAAAAAAGTGGAAGCACATACCTTGTTCATGGATTGGAAGAATTAACATCATTAAAATGTCCACACTACCCAAAACAATCTATAGATTCAATGTAATCCCCATCAAAATACCAACGACATATTTTACAGAAGTAGAACAAATACTTCTAAAGTTCATATGAAATAAAAAAAGACTTAAATAGCCACAGCAATCTTGAAAAAGAAGAACAAAGTAGGAGGGATCACATTACCAGATATCGGGTTATACTGTAATCAAAACAGCCTGGTAGTGGCATAAGAACAGGCATATAGACCAGTGGAACAGAACAGAGAACCTAGAAATGGACCCAAGACAATATGCTCGATTAATATTTGACAAAGGGGGCAAGAGCATACAGTGGAGTAAAGACGGCCTCTTTAATAAATGGTGTTGGGAAAATTGGACAGCTACATGCAAAAAAAAAATGAAACTAGACCATCAACTTACACCATACACAAAAATAAACTCAAAATGGAAAAAGACTTAAATATGACTCATGAATCCATAAAAATCCTAGAAGAAAATGTAGGCAACAAAATTTCTGACATACGCAGCAGAATTTTCACTGATATATCACCTAAGGCAACAGAAACAAAAAAGCTTCTGTACAGCAAAAGATATAATCATCAAAATGGAAAGGCAACCCACTGTATGGGAGAGCATGATTGCCAATGATATATCAGATAAGGGGTTGATTTCCAAAATGTATAGAGTGCTCATACAACTCAACAAAAGGAAGACAAAGAACCCAATTAAAAAATGGGCAGAGGAGCTGAATAGACACCTCTCCAAACAGCACATACAAATGGCTAAGAGACATATGAAGAAATGCTCAACATCACTAATCATCAGAGAGATGCAAATTAAAACAACAATGAGGTATCACCTCACACCTGTCAGAATGGCTACCATCAACAAATCATCAAACAACAAGTGTTGGCGAGGTGTGGAAGAAAGGGGACTGTAGTATATTGCTGATGGGAATGCAGACTGGTGCAGCCACTATGGAAAATAATATGGTGTTGCCTCAAAAAGTTAAAAATTGAACTGCCATTTGACCCAGTGATCCCACTTCTGGAAATATACCCTAAGAAACCTGAAACACCATTCAGAAAGAATATATGTACCCCTATGCTCATAGCAACACTATTTACAATAGCTAAGATCTGGAAAAAACCCAAGTGCCCATCAGTAGATAAGTGGATCAAAAAGCTGTGGTACATGTACACAATGGAAAAGTATGCAGCTGTAAGAAAGAAAGATCTCTTAGCTTTTGAGATGGCATGGAAGGACCTGGAGAGTATTATGCTAAGCAAAACAAGCCAAGCAGAGAAAGACAAATATCACATGATCTCACTTATTTGTGGAATATAATGAACTAAACAAACTGCTGAACAAAATTAACCCAGAGACATGGAGGTAGAGTACATGCTGACAAGCCTCAGAGGAGGTGGGGGGTTTGTGAGGGAAAAGGTAAAGCACAGTACTTACATGCATGTATGCATGACCAATAAACACAGACAACAAAGCTGGGGATCGGGCAGGGGGAAAGGGAGGAGGGTGTCAATGGGGGAAAATGAGAAACATCTGTAACAAAAAAATTAATAAAAAATAATAAACCAAGTTGTTATATATATAATTGTTTATGTACATATGTATATATACAAATGAAACCATATGTATACGTATATGTTAGTAGGCAACTGTGATAATAAAATAAGTATGCTAAAAGATCTTCTCACCAGGACTTCCTCCGTCATGGTCTTTTGGGTTCCTGGGTCCAAAGAAGGGGTAAATAGGAAAGAGTAAGTGTGTTTGCCAGCCTGGTATCGCTGGCCACTTGATAGTCCTTTGTATCGTAACAAAACGCAGATGATATTTTACCTAGAAGTAGCAATTGAAAATGAACTATGCTTAAAATCAAGCAAACTGAAAAGCAAATATTAGAAATAAAGAAAAGTTAAGAACATAAGAAAAACCATGTGATTTGAAAGAGGAGACTCATCTGATGTCAATGTGACACCAATGCCTGGAAATGACAGTGACTCCAAGCATACTGTATCTGCTCCAATCATATCTATATTAAAAGTTCTCTCAAAATGTAAAGTTCACAAAAACAAGATATATATATGGTCCATAAATACATGAAAAGTTTATGAATGTCACACACAAAATAAAGGCAAATTTAAAGCACAATGGAAAACTAATAAAGCTTAATAATGCACTCTGTCAGCAAGGCTGTAGACAAACAGGCACTTCAAAGCATTGCTTATGGGATGCAAAATGGCACAACTGTAATGCAGAATTTGGAAATCTTTGTGCATTTACTATTTGGTTCAGCAATCCTACTTCCAGGAACAAAACTGAAATATATATATCTTCAACAATATAAAGAAAATGTATGCACAAGTTTGTTGTAACATTATTTGTGGTGGAAACATACTGAAATTAATTGCTCATACATAGGAGATTGCATAAACTATGGTACCTAGAGAGCTATGTATCTTTTCAAGGTATAGTCATAGAATATAAATCATACTAGATAACTGAAAGGGTAGAAACCTTCTAAGGTATCAGGTAGCAACAGCAGAAAGCATCCACCAGCCCAGGGACTAAGGGAACAAAAGCAAGAGTTTGGAATTACTAAAAATTATAAAGTTGGAGGACAGATCCTGTGGGGCTGAAAACCAAACTTCTGAGGAGGGTACACAAGCCAGCTAGTGCTCTGTCTCAGAGCTTGAGAGAAGGGTCCTTTGGGACTGGGACCTAGACATCTGAGAAGGAGCTCCAGTTGCCTAATGCTGATATCTTTGAGAGGGCGTGATGAGGCTGATTTTGAACAGTGTTAGACAATCTGCATATTATTTGGTTGCTGCTATGGGAAGAAAGTGCTACCGCCAAAAAAATAAAAGTGTTGCTGGCATGTTACTCACAGGAAGTACAAGCAGACAGAAAGCCAGCAGGAAAGACCAAGTGTCTTTCCCCAGTGTTGTCCTTTAATAGCAGAGTCTCACATAGAACTGGCCGAAGAACAGCAATGTAGCTACAGCATCAAAGAGGAGAGTAAAATAATGGATTTGTAGTTCAAAAAGGACTTACTGACAAGTATTCTACTTTGTGCATAAAAAGGAAAAGTGAGGTATATGTATGTAATTTATACTATGTAATATATATATAAATTAAAATGTATATATTTCCATATGGTTATATATAATACCTATGTAATTTGTATTTATTGACACATTTAATATTTGGATGCATTGCAAAAAAAAGTTGAAAATATCAATACACTTCTACCAAAATACTTCCGCATTTACTTTAATTCAATGTATAGTTCTTGAGGTAAAATTTACATACAAGAAAATGTACAAATCTTAACTGTACATGAGTTTCAACAAATGTATAGTTTTTGTAATCCAAACCACTTACAAGATAAACAATACCCTCAACCCAGAAAGTTCTCTCAGACGAGTTCTCTCTCTCCAGTCTATCCCAACCACACTCCCTCAGATATATAATTTTTCTGATTTCACCATAGATTAATACTGCCTGTTATAGAATTTCATATAAATAAAACTCACAAGTATTATACTCTTTTCCACAAGGCTTCTTTTATTCAGAAAAATGCTTCTAAAAGTCACAAATGTAACTGCTTTTTTTCAGTAATTCCTTTTTGTCACTGAGTAATATTCTACAGTGTAAACATAAAAGAATTCACTAATTTTCTGGTTGATGTGTACCTGACTGCTTCCAATATTTGGAGATTATGAATAAAGCTGTTATGAACATTTTTATACAACTCTTTTTATGAAAATATGCTTTCCTTCTGTAGGGAAAATTCATAGACATGCAACTGATGGATCATATAAGATAGATGTGTTTAGTTTTATTTTAGCAAACAAATGGCAATTTTCTAACAGGGTCATACCGTTTTATAGTCTCACCAACAGTGGCCTCACATCCGTACCACTTGGTGGATGGTAGAGTATCTCACTGTGGCTTAAATTCTGATGGATAATGACATTGCACTTTTTCATGTCTTTATTGGTCATTCATATATCTGCTTTGACAAACTATTTAAATCTTTTGTTTATCTTTGAAACTGGGCTGTCTGTCTCTTTATTATTGAGTTGTAGGACTTTAAAAAATATCTTGATACTAATACATTGTCACATATATGTAAATAATTCAACACTGTGCCTTGATAATCAATGTTATTAATATATTTAAAGTACTTTTAGGTATGTATTAAGACAACTGTACATTTACATTCAGTTGTAAGAAATAATAAACAGATTGTGTATAATCTTCTATTACTTTCCCCCAACGATAACATTTCATAAAACTATAATACCATACCCAGGGAACTGACACTGATACAAATCACTAATCATATTCAGATTTTTCTAGTTTCACTTATACTCACATATATATTTATTAAGTTCTATGTAACTTTATCACATGTGAAAGTTCAAGTATCAACATCACAGTCAAGATGTCCAACAGTTCCATCACCCTTTCTCTTCTGATAGCTATTCCCTGACAACCAAGAATCTGTTCTCTGTTTCTAAAATTTTGCAATTTAAAAAATGTTATATAAATGGAATCACAGTATTAATATGTTGGGATATTTCCCACTGCACATAACTCTCTGGAGATTTAGCTAGTTGTATATACGTATTTACTTATTTATCTGTAATTTATAATAAAATGCACATGACAAAATTTACCATTTTAACCATTTTGAGGTATACAGTTCAGTGATTTTAAATATAATCATGTTGTTGTGTAACCATCTCCACCATTTATCTCTATACATCTTTTCATCTTGTAAAACTAAAACTCTATACCTATTCAACAATAACTAGCTATTCTTCTCCCTGGTCCAAGTTCCTGGAAACCACCCTTATATTTCCTGTCTCTATGATTTTGACTATTCTAAATACCTCATATAAGTAGAATCATGAAGTATTTGTCTTCTTATAACTGACTTATTTCACTTAGAATAATGTATTCAAGATTTATACATGTTATAGTATCAGAATTTCCTTCCTTTATCTTTTTCTTTATTGCTTTTAGAGAGAGAGGAAGAAGAGGGAGAGAGAAATGGAAACATCAATGAGAGAAACATCGATGAGCAAGAACATCAATTGGCTTCCTCCTACACGCTCCCACTGGGGATCACGTCCACAACCTGGGCATGTGCCCTGACCAAAAATCAAACTAGTGACCTCTTGGTGCATGGGTCAATGTTCAACCACTGAGCCACATTGGCTAGGCCAAATTTCCTTCCTTTTAAGGTGAATAATATTCCATTATATATATAGACCACATTTTGCTTATCCAGTCATCTATCAATGAACATTTAGGTTGCTTCTACATTGTAGCTATTATGTATAATGCTGCTGTGAACACTGGTGTACAAATATGTCTCTTTGAGCCTTGGCCAGTTTGGGTAGGTGGACAGAGTGTTGGCTCGCAGACCAAAGAAGCCCAGGTTCAATTCCCACTAAGGACACATACCTTGATTGCAGTTTGTCCCCGGTCCAATTGGGGTCATGTGGGTGGCAACCACTCGATGTGTCTCTCATATCGGTATTTCTCTCTCTCTCTCTCTTCCTCCCTCTCTCCCTCCCACTCTGTCTCAAGATAAATGCCAAAAAAAAAAAAAAAAGTCTCTTTGAGACCTACTGTCAATTCTTTTAACTATATACCCAGAAGTGGAAATGCTGGGTCATGTGGTGATTCTATTTTTAATTTTTTATTACTTTTTTTTAATCCTCACCTGAGGACATTTTTTGTTCAGATAGAGTAGGAGGGAGGGAGGGAGAGGGAGAAGAAGAGGGAGAGGAAGAGGGAGAGAGAAACATCGACATGAAAGGGACACATCAAGTGGCTGCCAGCCGCACAAACAAACCAGGGCCAGGGACAAACTGAAACCAAGGCACAAGCACATGCCCTTAGCAGGAACCAAACCCGGGTCTCTCCGGACCGCAGGCCAATGTTCTAACCACTGAGCCAAACTGGCCAGGGCAATTTTTTTATAACTTTTTAAAAATCCTCACCTGAGGATATTTTTCCATTTACTTTCAGAGTGGGAGGAAGAGAGGGAGAGGGAGGGGAGAAGGGGAGAGAGAGAGAGGGAAAGAAAGAGAGACATCAATGTGAGAGAGACACATCAATTGACTGCCTTCCGCACAACCCCAACCAGAGCTGGGACCAAACTGCAACAGAGGTAATGCCCCTGGCTGGAATCATATCTGCGACTCTTCAGTCCACCGGCCGACACTGTAACTGTTGAGCCAAACCAGTCAGGACCTTTTTAAAATTTTTTGAGAATCTCCACTGTGTTTCCATAGACACTGTAGTATTTTATCACCAACATTCATGAAGATTTGAATTTCTCCACATCCCACAAACTCTTATTTTCTATTTCTTGACAGTAACTATTGTAATTAATATGAGGTGGTATCTCATTGTAGTTTTGATTTATATTTCCCTCATGACTAGTGATACTGAGCATTTTTTCATATAAAGCAGGAGAGAGGAGGGAAGAGAAAGAAACATCGATGTGCAAGAAACACATTGAGTGGTTGCCACCCACACAACCCCAACCGGGGCCAAGGACAAACTACAACTGGGGTACATGCTCTTAGCAGGAACAGAACCTGGGACTCTCCAGTCCATGGGCCAACACTCTAAATGCTGAGCCAAATGGCCAGGGCAGGTTTCTATGCACAATATCATATCATCTGTGAATAATGACAGTTTCACCTCCTCCTTTCCAATGTGGATGTCTTTTCTTTTTTTTTTTTTTTTTGTCTCATTGCTGTGGTTAAGACTTCCAGTATTATGTTAAATTGGAGTGGTGAAAGTGGGCAACC